GAGACATAAGGATGATAAAAATACTGCTTTGATGTCATACAACACCCTTGAGTCCAAATGTGCACTTCATATTTCTATATCATAAAACTCATGTAATATACAGTGTCAATGTTTATGATCACTATGTTTTGAAGTACAGTTACAAGATGACATGTTGTCATAACCTGGGTTGTTCTGAAAAGAATGAGCCTATGTTTGTTTATTGTGAAGAAAATTTGTCGCATCACACACCCCTGAATGCACTCATGACTCCCTTCTATGCGCACCAAAATTACGATCTGTTTCTCTGAATTGCCTTGTGAAAGCCTAAAACTGTACGATCATATTTTTTAATTTAGCTAGTCATGTTGGCAGTAGAACAAGCTTTCAAATCATGCCCACCTGACCCAGATTGCAATTTATAATGGACTGTTTTTGGATTGTGTAAACAACAACAGTAATTGTGTGATGGCAGGGATGCAGGGTTGTGTTCCTAACAAAACAACTACAAGTGTGCTTGCTCTATTTCCTCAACGGCACAGCTAGGAGAGCTCAGAAAAGTATCTTATAGTTGAAGGCTCTTCTTTGAGTCATAAAAGTGCATTGAAATGATACTTTGGAGAGGTGTGTGGCCTCTTTGAGACACCACTTAGTCCTCTCACTCAAAGCCTTGTAATTGTTTTGTTTTATGTTACATCTAACCCAGATCTTCCAGGAATAATCTTGTCATGTTACTGAATGTATCCAGAGTATTTTCAGATTTCATTATCAACAAACGCGGCAAAAAGTACAGTAAATGTAAAATGCACAAAAAATCAACAGTGTAATGTTTGGATTCAGTCTTGTGTCAGGTGAACTGTTGTGTACTCACATTTGCTCTAAATTTTCTCATTAACTCCAAACTGTTCCTTTGAATTACTGGTTATGCATACGCTTTTCATATTTCGTCTGTATCTCTCTCTCGTCTCTCTACCTACAGAATCCAATCAAGGCAATCCTCACACACTGTAGCTACTCCGTGACTCACAATACACGGCAAGCCAAGGCATTTCTTCAAATCACTTTCTTCTCCTCCTCAACCCTCTCTTCACCAAGCAACTTGTCAGAAGAGACTAAAGGAGAAGTCCCGGTGAAGAGAATATAAAAAAGTTGAATTTTTGCCATGTTAAAATCTCTCTCTCTCTCTAACACAATGTTTTCCTTGGTCGTGTTTTACCAAGGGAGTGGTCGGTGGGTCGGAGTGTTAAGTTGTGTCAATTCAAATCTGGTATTGGAACAAAAAGAGGTCAATACACGTCTTCTAAAATAGACTAGTATTTTAATTAATGCAAAACACTTCAATGGTAAATATGATGTTCGTATATACGGGTCCACTGAAATACCACGCAGGGCAGACAGAGAACTAAGCCATTGTTCTAAGTTCTTCTTTAAATACTCTGACAGAGATAGTTCCTGCTCCCTGCTGGCCTATCAGAGTAGAGACTGAGCGTGGTTTAGACTTACTCAGCCTATCGTTGGCACACAGGCTGGTCCCAGCCCCTTGGCGCTTCACTGTTGCCAGGTGTTTAGTTGTTTTGCAACTTGTCCAGAGAGTCAGCAACCTCAGACATCTTTGTAGCAGAACACATGTCCTTCAGCGTTCTAACAAAGAGGCAGTGTTTGTGTCTGTGTGAGACACAAGCCTTATCTCAGCCTACCCCCTAATAGTTCCCCACATTAATCACAGCTTGTTATGTTAAACAGTCTATATCAATACAGCACAAACCTATTATGTTTAATCATTAATGCTTTCTTATTAAGCTAACAGCACATCTAAAATATAAGAGAATAATTTCCCACAGGAGGGATGCAGTGGCCTGTGTGTGGTATGTGTGCGTGTGTGCGCCCGCACGAGTGTGTGCGGGTGTGTGCATACGTGCGTACGTGTCTCAGTGTTTCCATATGCATTGAAGCAGCCTCTTGAGTAATGGGCTAGTCAACACCTCTGCATGATTTAGAGAGGTTTACCAAGTCTTTTCCCACTAGATATTGGAGCTATTGTTTCTCTAACTGACACTCCTTACTTAATTTTTACTCTCTTGAAGTTGACTGGCCACCCACCAAGCAAGCCTAGAGACATTTCAGATTGTAGTTGTAAGAGGCACCATATCTGTGAGAAAAGCAATGTTCATTCACTGATCTAATTATGCTTTCAGACTGAACACGGTCAGAAAGATTTTTACTATATCCTTGTCGAGGAGGTCTGGAAGACAAAAAGTTAGTCCAAGACTTCATTCTTAACTTTTCTTGTTTCAGTTATTCTCTTTACTGCAGCTGCCTGAAAACTCCTTAAGGCTAGAAAAGTTAAAGGGTTATTGTGGCATGGTGTGGAAAGGGTTATTGTCTGGTGTTATCACAGAATAGATCAGGTGTTTGTGCTTCTGTTTGCCTGCCCTGACTGCATCATGTGTTGTTTAGAGTACAGCAGAGCGCAATTGTTTAGTTTATCCAATTGAGTGAATTGAGTAATTAACAACCACATCTGCTGCTACTATATAGCTGCCTCTCTTTGCTACACCTGTACTACTTTAACTGTAATTTACTGTAAATTGTTTGAACCTTACCCTATTTTGTAAACCTTCAGAGGATTATTCATAATGACTAAGTATAAAAAATAGATCAGATGTGTTGGCGTAGTCCCCTTGCCAGGGTCTGGCGATACAGTGTGTATCTCCGCATACCTAGGTTCCTTTATTAACCCCCGCTCCTTATGCTGCCTAACCAGCTCCTCTCTCCGTGCCTCTACTTCCTCCTTTTCCCTACGAGCCTCCTGCAGTGCCTCCTCTTGAATGGATCTCTCCCGTTCTATTCTATCTATCAGCCCCCGTAATATGGTGGCCTCCTCTCTTACCCTGCAGATCCCGATCCTTCTCTCTCTCTCTGCACTCCTCCTCCAGTGAGGACTCCTCCGGGAGCCCCCACGAGTTAGGGAACAGAAACTCATCGTCGTCGTCATCCTCCGACTCCTCAGTATAATACTGTTCCCACTCTTCTTCCCATGGTCGTAGGGAATCAATCTGGAAACCCACCGGGTGCAGTGGTCGGGGCTCCTCTCTCTCACTCCCCGACCACCCCTTTAGCCCTCCCCCAAAAAAATTATTGGGGCTGCTTCTCGGGCTTCCTCCTAGGCAGGCTTCTGTGTTGCCGTTGCTCCTCTCCTGCCTGGGCTTCTTCGCCCAGGGTCCTTTTCCCGCAAATATCTCCTCCCAAGACCAAATCTTCCCCACCTGTGTCCAGGGTGTTTGCTCCTGGGCACGCTGCTTGGTCCGTGTTTGGTGGGATCTTCTGTCACGTTCGTTTAAGGACGGGTCAGACCAAGGCGCAGCGTGAAATGCGTACATGTTTATTAAACTGATAAATCACACGACAAAACAATAAACAAACGAAACGTGAAGTCCTAAGGTTGAACACACAACAAACCTATACACGGAACAAGATCCCACAACTAACGAGTGCCAATAGGCTGCCTAAGTGTGATCCCCAATCAGAGACAACGAGCGACAGCTGTCTCTGATTGGGAATCACACCCGGCCAAACACAGAACTACAACACCTAGACTGAAACATAGAAAACACACCATAGAACACCACACCCTGACTCAACATATAAGAGTCCCCTGACTCAGGGCGTGACAGTTGTAATGCAACAAAATAGGAAAAATGCCAAGGGGGATGAATACTTTTGCAAGGCACTGTATGTATGTATGTACAGTATGTATGCAAGTGTCTGTCCCTCCCCCCAGGTCCCTAGAAAAGGTATGTGTTAACTAAGGTTTTATTAATGCATATATTTGCTGTGGGTGTGTGATATCATAGCACTTGAAGAGCCCATCTGGAACAGGTCATTTTAATTTGTTAACAGGAAACATTAAGTGGGCGGTGTGTACTAGTCTATCCCCAGGGAGTGTCTGGTAGGTCCTCAGCCTCTCTTCTGAGATCCTCATGGTGTGTTTAGCTACCCCACTCTAGGGACTTCAGGGAGGGGTTAGAGGGGTATCTTAGCAGGTCTGATGTCACCCTTTGTTTCTTGGGATTCCTTCTCTTTTTTTTATCTTAAAAAAAAACTACCTTTATTTAACTAGGCAAGTCAGTTAAGAACAAATTCGTATTTACAATGACAGCCTACCAAAACGCAAAAGGCCTCCTGCAGGGACTGGGGCTGGGATTAAAACAAAAAAAATTAAATAAAAATTGGTGACAGGCAGTGGCTGAGACAACAGATGTTCTGATTTTATACACTGCACTCTTTGAGAGAGGTAGTTAACAAACCAGGCCAAATACCCCTCAGACACCAATACTCCTTAGCCGGCCCACAAGAATGGAATAGTCTACCGTATCAATAGCTTTGGCCAAGTCAATAAATATAGCAGCACAACATTGCTTAGACCCAAGGGCAATGGTGACCTTTAAGGATGCAGTGACACATCCATAACCTGAGCGGAAACCAGATTGCTCTTCTCCTAAATTGTTTTAGCAACCCCCCATCTGGGAGGAGTTACTGGTGTAGCCTGGCCTCATGTCACCCTTTGTTTTCTTATCTATCCACGATTCTCTCTTGATTGTTAGTGTTACACCACATGTATTTCTCTCATATGATTTTGAATTATTTTCTCGACTTGTATTTTACTTCCTCAAGTATATTTGTATTGCTGCTGATATTGATGCGGCCCTCGTTTCGATGTGATCGCATAAACATCTAAGATACTCAAATTCTTCATGCTTGTCGGATTTTGTAACATCTAAGAAACCCATTTAACTCTTGTACGTAGATTCATACCGTCAAATGTATGCAAATGAAGCGTTTAAATAAAAATACTCAAACTCTATGCAAATCATTTCTGTTTTTGAATGAAAATACTAACATCTCGTCTCCCTCTTCTCTCCTCCTAGGTGTCTGTGTTTGATTGTGTGAAAGGAGAGGCGTGTGTGTGTTCGTAGTGGGGGAGCAAGGAGGAGCAGTGCCCTGTGCCAACCTGGACCATCATGGTGCCTAACATTCACCCTGCAGTGCCTCTCCTGCCCAGAGTGGCGGAGATACTGCTGCTGCTACTCAGCTGCCTGATGCTCTCCTCTCAGGCTGACGGTAAGTACAGTCCTACAATACAATATCTATAAAATCCTGCTTTTAAACTATACTCTAAGACAGGTCATGGCAGAATACACTTGTGTGGCTTAGTTGGTAAGAATAGCAGTAGGCCAGATTTTAACCCATTCTGCAGCGGTATATGTGCAGCTTAGACCACTTGACCACCCTCGGCCACCAGGGTCACGGCTTTCATTCCCGCTGGGGTCACCTATACTATACATGTAGCCTATGCAGTCACTGTACTGTAAGGCAAAGCTGAATGTTTCTTTTGATTTTATACCAATTGACTTCGACCAAATAGGCTACAAACTGTAGTTCACCGTATCATTTATTCAGTAATCTGCTTCTTCTTAACAGAAGTACACTAATACAGTACAACGTTAAACTGTATTACTGAATATTAATTGCGCTCTAGCTTCCTTCCTTGTTTGTTTGGCTGCTTAAGGAGAATTTACATTTACATTTACGTCATTTAGCAGACGCTCTTATCCAGAGCGACTTACAGGAGCAATTAGGGTTAAGTGCCTTGCTTAAGGGCACATCGACAGATTTTTCACCTAGTCGGCTCGGGGATTAGAACCAGCGACCTTTCGGTTACTGGCACAACGCTCTTACCCACTAAGCTACAGCTTATGCTGTGCAATTTGCTGCTTAATTTAACTTTCTATAAACTGCTCCAGTCCATTTACATTTGGTCTCCTTGGTGGATTCCAGCTAGCAACATTTAACAGCTGATTTTTGAATGCACTCAGTCGCTCGCTCTCCAAACTGTAGAATTCCCAGGAGAGAGAGAGCCCTGCTGTCCAGCTTGATAAAGGTCTGGGGCTGGAGAAGCGCTTTCCGAGAGATGTGTCACTGTTGCTAGGCTTTTGGATCCCTGGGGTGTGTGTAGCGTGGAGCGATGTTCTGCAGAAGCGAGGGGGTCCGGGACCAAATTAATTCAGCACATGACCTCAACTACAGCGCTGTCACAGGGTCACTGTAATTCAATTAGATCACACAAACACACTCCTCTTTCGCTCACTTTTCAACCCTCCCTCTCACTCTTTATGTGACCGGTACCTTTAGATTTGAACATGTCTCAATGCATTACTAACCTTGGGATACTGCATGCTGGTAGGAATATAGGAAGCGCAGAATAGATGTTTCCCAAGGCCCCCATTTCCTCTACAATAATGTAGAGATTAGTCATTTAAGCTCTCTGACCCTTGTTTATTTAACCATAGTGGGTGAATACATTTGTAGAAATACAGTGCTCATGCAATGTTTTTCAGTGGTGAACAAACCGGCAAACTCAGCCCTGCAAAAGTCAGAAAATAAACAAAGAAAGACAGATGACCCTTTGCTAAGCCCCTCTTGGTTACTGTTGCAACCTCGGACAACATTTTCCCGGGAAGCCCAATTCCCCACTCAAACACTGGCGAAATCCCCTCACAATGATATCAAACTGTGTTTCTAATAGACAATGGAATTTAACACGGAGTACCCCTTGCTAATCAGGAAACTCTTGGGTATGTTGTGGTGGACTGTCATTACAATTGCTTCACGAGAACCTGGTAAAATTATGTCTGCAGTGTAGCTAGCCACTGAATTGCTCTGAATTCACTGTCAGCATGCTCTCAAAGCTATAACCACTTTTGGAGATAACTAGTGCTCTCAAATCATATCCTGATGTCGACAGCATATGGGATTTGTATTCATAACATTGTTAACTTAACTAGCCAGTTGAGCTGACAGCTGCTTTGCACTGTTTCGCTATGGTTTTAGTCATCAATCTAGCAGGAAGGCAATATATTATTAATTTCTCTCACTTTTCAACACTCCCTCTCACTTTTGTGTAGCTCAGTTGGTAGAGCATGGCGCTTGCAACGCCAGGGTTGTGGGTTCTTTTCCCACGGGGGGCCAGTATTTAAAAAATGTATGCACTCACTAACTGTAAGTCGCTCTGGATAAGAGCGTCTGCAAAATGACTAAAATGTAAATGTAATGTAGTAGTGTTTCCCCACCCCTAGAAAGCAATGACCTTTGGCTTTCCCCTGGAATTGTTAATTTACAGTGGGGAAAAAAAGTACTGATGAAAATTACAGGCCTCTCATCTTTTTAAGTGGGAGAACTTGCACAATTGGTGGCTGACTAAATACTTTTTTTCCCCACTGTATGTCTGAGAAAAAAACACTTTTCAACACATATGATCTAGTACACAATAAAAGTATAATACAACATATAGAAATATGATGATATGATAAAAATAAATAAAAAATGGTGAATAAATAAGCCTCTTCATACTTTATAATATGTTCATATATACTTATAAACTGTTTTAGGAACATCTACACAAAATATTTCACCTTCTTTAAACATATCATGACATTAGTGATAGTCAAAATCAGTTACATTTCTGAATGTCTACATCGACATTTGGGCCATTTAAACAGTGTGCGTCCCTCCTATAGACAAGGGAAGAAGGGCTATGTAAAGGGCTCATTTTTGTAATTCTGAGCATATGCAATGTGTCTGCCTCTGACGTAAAACAAATGATTGACTTCCACACAAAATTACTTCTTTACTTGTTTGAGGTTGAAGGAAGAGTGTCCCCTACTACAGCTGGTTCTCACTCAGCTCTCTAACTACCGTAATCATATTAATCGGCGCTGGAAGCTTTTATCTTATCATGTTTTACACGCAACTCAGAGGTCCTCTCTATACTGCACAAGTACTGTATATATGTGAGCCTGTGAGCCTTGTCTCTCAATAGGCCCAGGCAGACAGCCTACTAAAGCTGGTCTCTGTTTATCCTCTGATCATTACCAGACAAAGACAGTCTCTGTGTCGTGACTAACTGGTAGCGCATCTTCTGATCAGACACCTACAAATTGTGAAAGACATAGACTGTTCTCTCTGTTACCGCACGGCAATCGGTACCCGGAGAGCCAAGTTTGTGTCCAAAAGGCTCCTGAACAGCTTCTACCCCCAAGCCATAAGATTGCTTTTTTTTTGCACTGACTCTATGCACACTCGCTGGACTCTACCCACACACACACACTTTCACACTCTTCACATATGCTGCTGCTACTCTGTTTATAATCTATCCTGATTGCCTAGTCACTTTTACCCCTACCTACATGTACATATTACCTCAATTACTGTACCTCAACTGCCTCGTACCCCTGCACATTGACTCGGTACCGGTACTCCTTGTATATAGCCTCGTTATTGTTCTTTTATTTGTTACTATTTCTTTTTTTATTTAGCAAATTGTTCTTACTTTTTAACTCTGCGTTGTTGGGAAAGGGCTCCTAAGTAAGCATTTCACAGTAAAGTCTGCAGCTGTTGTATTCGGCGCAGGTAACAAATAACATTTGATTTGGTTTGATTTACTACACATAGGCCGTGGCGCGTGCACACACAAATCAACATGCAGGAGTCTTCAACTAATGAAATTCTTCAATTTTAACCACTAGAAGACAGATTCTTTTTGACGGGGGGCAAGAGAGCCAGACACACGGCTATCAAACGTCACTTTGCATCGGGCTGGTTGGTATGGATAGCAATAGAGGCAGTTGTCTGGGCTAGAAGAACAGGGCAGAGCCATCTTAAAGGGGGAAAAAACTATATTTAATGTTACATTGGTAGTCATCAGAAATAGTCCTGGTTATAGTTTATGTAACAAAGGCCTCCTTGTGATAAACCCTAGAGTCTAATATTACCTTGTTTGCAGAGCAAACAAACATAGAATTAGGACAGAGAGTAAAAACACCTACCACAAATGCTAGGGTTGTCTGTTGTTGTTGCCTGTAATTTGTTTGAGTTTAAAGCCTAGTTTTGTGACTCTGAACGTGATAGCACTGGTTAGTGTGCTGCTCTGTTCCTGAATTACAGGGCATTGGTAGACAGATAGAAATACAGGGCTGGGGTAGGGCGTGGATTGGTGGGGAGGCTGACCTCACACAGCTCTGATTACTAGGTCTGTGTCTGTTTCTCTGTGAATTCTCTCAGGCTGCTACGGTAGGGGACCACAATCAAATGTAATATTTAAAATCCAGGATATTTCTGAAATCACACTGAGTAATGACATCCATTTGAAAACAGGAGACAAGACAAGACCAACGATCTACAAAGAGCTATATTTCTCTGTCTACAACAAGGGAGGAATGCTTGGTGTAGCTATGAATATACAGTGGGGTCTGATTTATTGACACCCTTGATAAAGATGAGCAAAAATGATTGTGCACTCTAACCCGAATAAGTTAGCAGAACTCAATAAATTTGTGGCAACTGATTGCTTAGGTTTTTTTGAGTTATGAAACTTAAAAGTATTGATTGATTGATACGGTACTTAATTTCTGTTAATCAATATACAATTTGTATTACAGATAACTTAAAGTATTGAATTATTAACTTTATTACTATGATCTAAAGTAACTTAAAATATGCAGTACCAGTCAAAAGTGAAGACACCTACTCAATCCAGGGTTTTTCTTTATTTGTATTATTATTCACATTTTAAAATAATAGTGAAGACATCAAAACTATGAAATAACACATATAGAATCATGTAAATAGTTGTGATGGACTACTTTCTGGAGGACGATCTTGCCATGCTGACTCTCTCTGACTTGTAAAATGAATCAGACGATGAGGAAATCCCTGATTTACATTACCAGTCAACAGTTTTAGAATACCTACTCATTCAAGGGTTTTTCTTTATTTCTTACTATTTTCTACATTGTAGAATAATAGTGAAGACATCAAAACTATGAAATATCACATATGGAATCATGTAGTAACCAAAAAAGTGTTCAACAAATCAAAATATTTTATATTTGAGATTCTTCAAAGTAGCCACCCTATACAGAAGATCCAGAAGATAGCCCTATTTGGTAAAAGACCAAATCCATATTATGGCAAGAGCAGCTCAAATAATCAAAGAGAAACGACAGTCCATCATTACTTTAAGACATGAAGGTCAGTCAATCCAGATAATGTCAAGAACTTTGAACGTTTCTTCAAGTGCAGTCTCAAAAACCATCAAGCGCTATGATGAAACTGGCTTTCATGAGGACCGCCACTGGAAAGGAAGACCCAGAGTTACCTTTGCTGCAGAGGATAAGTTCATTAGTTACCAGCCTCAGAAATTGCAGCCCAATAAGTGCTTCACAGAGTATAGGTAACAGACACATCTCAACATCAACTGTTTGGAAGAGACTGAGGCCTTCATGGTCGAATTGCTTTACAGAAACCACTACTAAAGGACTCCAATAATAAGAGGAGACTTGCTTGGGCCAAGAAACACGAGCAATGGACATTAGACCGGTGGAAATCTGTCCTTTGGTCTGGAGTCCAAATTGGAGATGTTTGGTTCCAACTGCTGTGTCTGTGAGACGCAGCGTAGGTCAACGAATGATCTCTGCATGTGTAGTTCCCACTGAAGCATGGAGGAGGTGGTGTGGGGTGCTTTGCTGGTGACACTGTCTGTGATTTATTTTGAATTCAAGGCACACTTAACCACCATGGCTACCACAGCATTCTGCAGCAAAACGCCATCCCATCTGGTTTGGGCTTAGTGGGACAATCATTTGTTTTTCAACAGGACAATGACCCAACACACCTCCAGGCTGTGTAAGGGCTATTTGACCAAGAAGGAGAGTGATGGAGTGCTGCATCAGATGACCTGGCCTCCACAATCTCCCGACCTCTACCCAATTTAGATGGTTTTGGATGTGTTGAACCGTAGAGTGAAGGAAAAGCAGCCAACAAGTGCTCAGCATATGTGGGAACTCCTTCAAGACTGTTGGAAAAGCATTCCAGGTGAAGCTGGTTGAGAGAATGCCAAGAGTGTGCAAAGCTGTCATCAAGGCAAAGGGTGGCTATTTTGAAGAATCTCAAATATAAAATATATTTTGATTTGTTGAACACTTTTTTGGTTACTACATGATTCCATATGTGTTATTTCATAGTTTTGATGTCTTCACTATTACTCTACAATGTAGAAAATAGTAAAAATAAAGAAAAACCCTGGAATGAGTAGGTGTGTCCAAACCTTTGACTGGTACAGTATATCGATTTAACTCATTATGTTTAAGTAAACGCAACACACCCCTATCAAGTAGTTTTACTACAAACTTCATGTTGCATTTACTTAATATTGTTGTGTTATTTTTACTTGCTAGCCATTAACCTGTACTCAATTATTGTAAGTTGCGACAACTAATGCGCAAATTAAAAACTTAAATTAAAAAAGGTAGTTGTACATCTAATCAAAAACATTGTGGCAACTGATTGTGTATTGTTTATTTTGGGGCACCAACTCAAACAAAATAATTTCAATGTTAATAGAACAAACAAACAAAAAAAAGGACAAATAAATGCTTTCAAACCAGGAATAATATGGATTTATCGTTGCAGTAACAATAACAGAGATAGATGGTTGGTATTGAATGGAGTTGAAGGATGGGACTAATAACAAATAACAACAAATAATAACAAGATAACTAATAATGTAAGCATACTGTGTCCAAAATAAGTATATAGGTTGTATGTTGGGAGCTTTTGGGAAAGAGCACAGTTAGAAAGATATGGCATATAGAAGCAAACCGGATGGACATCATGAAAATGATCGGAGAGGTTGAGAGTAGAAGTTCAGGAGCAAAAAAAAAAAAATATATATATATATAATTATTGTAAAATTGACTGTGTCCATAAGGTGTAGATAGTAAGTATAGGCTGGAAGTAGAGGCCTGGGCATTGTTGTTCACAAATTTACCCCAAGTAGGGAAAGGATGGCGGGGTTGAAAAGTAATAAAGGGGAGTATATATATAAAAAACATGGGGGATTAGAAGTGATGCAGACAATTACATTGATAGAAGTTACAATCTATCTGCAATATTAAGCTGATCTACCCAAATAAGAAGAAAATAAAAAATAAAAATAAATAAAAAATTAACACATTTCCTGAAGAAAAGACTCCTGATCAGAGTACATTTAAAGAGAATACAGTAATAGGTTCACGTTAGAGAACATAGTGCAAGGTTCACAATTAAAGAGCACAGATTGGGGTCAATGTCTCACTGGAGGTCAGGTTTGGGTCAGTCATTTTCAATTCAGTTGATTTGGTAAGTAAACTGAAATTATAATATTGTCCTCATTGCCCTCGTTAAGGAAAATATTTGAATTTCAGTTTACTTCCTGAATTGACTGAATTTAAAATGGAATTGACCCGACCCTGACCTCCACTGAGACATTGCCCCATATGTAAGCCCCAAAATCAACTTGTCAGTGCTAGGCCTATTCAAGTGCTGCGTGTTACAAACAGTGGACAACATGCTTAGAAAAAGTCATCTCAATGAATTTGAGCAAGGAAATAGTAAGCTAAGGAAAATGGCAAATCTAAGAAACACCATGACCTACAATTATTAGCTTACATACTGCAAAGGTTCAAAGAGAACACTTTACAGTAGCACTTCCAACATGGTTGGGGTCAATTCCGTTTCAAATCAGCAAGTAAACAAAAATGTCTATATCAATTCCGATTTTCCTCATTGCCTCCTATGAGATGAAATTAGAACTGGAATTTCAGTTTACTTCCTGAATTGAAATGGAATTGACCCCAACCCTGGTGGAGGTGCTACTGTAATGATGATTAGGGGGTAAGCGCAAGTGTTTTTTGGGGTTCCTTTCCTAAACAATAAAAAATATTCAACAATGTCAACAAATAATTTTGAGGTCAGTTTGGGATTATAAAACAGCTTTTTATTTGAAGTAAACTGAAATTGAGACAGCTCAACAGGGACAATACCTTCCAAAAGATTAAAAACCTGTGATGGGGTGGAAATACTGCAGTGACGCAACAGTATCACTTTGCACAGCATTTTGTACTTTAAAGTCATGGCTGGCTTTTGTTCTCAGGCTAAACTCTTTGCGGACGTGTGGTGACTTGGCTCAGTATTTGGTTCTGAGATATTGCTTAGAATATCAGTGTTATTAAACAGCCTTGAATCTAAAGTATTGGAACATACACTGTTGTGTGTCCAGGTTGCTCTAAGTCTAAAACATGCTGTACTGGCATTACCGTACTGGCATTAGTTTCTCAAAAGATGTCAGCTTTAGCTGATTAAACATCTTATTAAAAAAAAGCTATAAAACCAAAACGCTATGTAAATAAAAAACATATAATAAATTTAAGTGTACAGGTGAAGACTTAGGAGTGTATGTTTTCATACAAAAAGTAAAGTCGCAACAATAGAATTCTATGCAAATTCCACCTGCATGGTTCAGGGAAAGTCCATGTAAAGCACTTGTGGTAGGTGGCCTGTAAGATTTTCTGTTCCGACTTCAAACCAAATACTCTGACAATCTTCTGTATTGAATTCTAGCAGCTCAGCATAACACTTCTTACATAATTCAACACAATGTCATCTAAAAAAATAAGACTCCAACCTTAAGCCACATGTAATCAGCTTGTGATCAATGCCTACACATGTATCATCAAATCCTTCTTCAGAGCCTGTAGCCTTGGCTTCATTTTCCCATCTTCTAAACTTAGCAGGATATTCTGAATGAACTCAAACGTGTTGGACAGTTATTTTGGATAACTGAGATGTAGAGCAAAGATCAGACCAAACATTACCATACGGCAGTCTGAGGAGGTCAATCACCACAACTTCACTCTCCAGGACGTCAGAGATCTTGACCGGATTGTAGTGGACTGGATTTTTCGAAGCGAAAAACAGGTTTAGACATTTTTGCAAATGTATGAAAAATTAATAAAATAAAAATACCTTATTTAAATAAGTACAGTGCCTTGCCAAAGTATTCATTCCCCTTGCCGTTTTTATTTTATTTTGTTGCATTACAACCTGTAATTTAAATAGATTTTTATTTGGATGTAATGGACGTAAACAAAATAGTCCAAATTGGTGAAGTGGAATGAAAAATAAAAACTTGATTCAAAAAATTAGAAAAAATGAATAACAGAAAAGTGGTGCGTGCATATGTATTCACCCCCTTTGCTATGAAGCCCCAAAATAAGATCTGGTGCAACCAATTACCTTCAGAAGTCACATAATTAGTTAAATAAAGTCCACCTGTGTGCAATCTAAGTGTCACATGATCTCAGTACATACAGTTGAAGTCGATAGTTTACATACACCTTAGCCAAATACATTTAAACTCAGTTTTTCACAATTCCTGACATTTAATCCTAGTAAAAATGCCCTGTCTTATGTCAGTTAGGATCACCACTTTATTTTAAGAATGTGAAATGTCAGAATAATAGTAGAGAGAATGATTTATTTCAGCTTGTATTTCTTTCATCACATTCCCAGTGGGTCAGAAGTTTACACACACTCAATTAGTATTTGGTAGCATTGCCTTTAAATTGTTTAACTTGGGTCAAACATTTCGGGTAGCCTTCCACAAGCTTCCCACAATAAGTTGGGTGAATTTTGGCACATTCCTCCTGACAGAGCTGGTGTAACTGAGTCAGGTTTGTAGGCTTCCTTGCTCGCACACGCTTTTTCAGTTCTGCCCACAAATGTTCTATAGGATTGAGGTCAGGGCTTTGTGATGGCCACTCCAATACCTTGACTTTGTTGTCTTTAAGCCATTTTGCCACAACTTTGGAAGTATGCTTGGGGTCATCGTCCATTTGGAAGACTCATTTGCGACCAAGCTTTAACTTCCTGACTTATGTCTTGAGATGTTGCTTCAATACATCCACATAATTTTCCTTCCTCATGATGCCATCTATGTTGTGAAGTGCACCAGTCCCTCCTGCAGCAAAGCAGCCCCACAGCATGATGCTGCCACCCCCGTGCTTCACGGTTGGGATGGTGTTCTTCGGCTTGCAAGCATCCCCCTTTTTCCACCAAACATAACGATGGTCATTATGGCCAAACAGTTCTATTTTAGTTTCATCAGACCAGAGGTCATTTCTCAAAGCAGTACGATCTTTGTCCCCATGTGCAGTTGCAAACCATAGTCAGGCTTTTTTATGGCCGTTTTGGAGCAGTGGCTTCTTCCTTGCTGAGTGGCCTTTCAGGTTTTGTCGATATAGGACTCGTTTTACTGTGGATAGATACTTTTGTACCCGTTTCCTCCAGCATCTTCACAAGGTCATTTGCTGTTGTTCTGGGATTGATTTTCACTTTTCGCACCAAAGTACGTTCATCTCTAGGAGACAGAACGCGTCTCCTTCCTGAGCGGTATGACGGCTGCGTGTACCCATGGAGTTTATACTTGCGTACTATTGTTTTTACAGATGAACGTGGTACCTGCATTTGGAAATTGCTCTCAAGGATGAACCAGACTTGTGGAGGTCTACAATTTGTTTTCTGAGGTCTTAGCTGATTTATTTTGATTTTCCCATGATGTCAAGCAAAGAGGCACTGAGTTTGAAGGTAGGCCTTGAAATACATCCACAGGTACACCTCCAATTGACTCAAATTATGTCAATTAGCCTATCAGAAGCTTCTAAAGCCATGAAATCATTTTCTGGAATTTTCCAAACTGTTTAAAAGGCACTTCTGACCCAGTGGAATTGTGATACAGTGAATTATAAGTGAAATAATCTGTCTGTAAACAATTTTTGGAAAAATGACTTGTGTCATGCACAAAGTAGATGTCCTAACCGACTTGCCAAAACTAGTTTGTTAATAAGAAATTTGTGGAGTGGTTGAAAAACGAGCTTTAATGACTCCAACCTAAGTGTGTGTAAACTTCCGACTTCAACTGTCTATATATATCTGTTCTGAAAGGCCCCAGAGTCTGCAACACCACTAAGCAAGGGGCACCACCAAGCAAGCGGCACCATGAAGACCAATGAGCTCTCCAAACAGTTCAGGGACAAAGTTGTGGAGAAGTGTATAAAACAATAAGAAACTATGAACATCCCACGGAGCAACATTACATCCATTATTAAAAATTTTAAAGAATATGGCACCACAACAAACCTGCCAAGAGAGGGCCGCCCACTAAAACTCACGGACCAGGCAAGGAGGCCATTAATCAGAGAGGCAACAAAGACACCAAAGATAACCCTGAAGGAGCTGCAAAGCTCCACAGCGGAGATTGGAGTCTTTCAATAGGAAAGCTTTAAGACGTACACTCCACAGAGCTGGGCTTAAGGGAAGAGTGGCCAGAAAAAAGCCATTGCTTAAAGAAAAAAATAAGCAAACACGTTTGGTGTTCGCCAAAAGGCATGTGGGACACTCCCCAAACATATGGAAGAAGGTACTCGTCAGATGAGACTAAAATTGAGCTTTTTAGCCATCAAGGAAAACGCTATGTCTGGCGCAAACCAAACACCTCTCATCACCCCGAGAACACCATCCCCACAGTGAAGCATGGTGGTGGCAGCATCATGCTGTGGGGATGTTTTTCATTGGCAGGGACTGTGAAACTGGTCAGAATTGAAGGAATGATGGATGGCGCTAAATACAGGGAACTTCGAGGGAAACCTGTTTCAATCTTCCAGATATTTGGGACTGGGACGGAGGTTCACCTTCCAGCAGGACAATGACCCTAAGCACACTGCTAAAGCAACACTCAAGTGGTTTAAGGGGAAATTTAAATGTCTTGGAATGGCCTAGTCAAAGCCCAGCCCTCAATCCAATTGAGAATCTGTGGTATGACTTAAAGATTGCTGTACACCAGCGGAACACATCCAACTTGAAGGAGCTGGAGCAGTTTTGCCTCGAAGAATGGGCAACAATCCCAGTGGCTAGATGTGCCAAGCTTATAGAGACATACCCCAAGAGACTTGCAGCTGTAATTGTTGCAAAAGGTGGCTCTACAAAGTATTGACTTTGGAGGGGTGAATAGTTCTGCATGCTCAAGTTCTGTTTTTCTGTCTTATTTGTTGTTTGTTTCACTTAAAAAATATTTTGCATCTTCAAAGTGGTAGGCATGTTGTGTAAATTAAATGATACAAACCCCCCATGAATCCATTTTAATTCCAGGTTGTAAGGCAACAAAATAGGAAAAATGCCATTGGATTTAGACCCTTTGCTATGAGACTCGAAATTGAGCTCAGGTGCATCCTGTTTCCATTGATCATCCTTGAGATGTTTCTACAACTTGATTGGAGCCCACCTGTGGTAAATTCAATTGATTAGACATGATTTGGAATAGCACACACCTGTCAATGTAAGGTCCCACAGTTGACAGTGCATGTCAGAGCAAAAACCAAGCCATGAGGTCGAAAGGAATTGTCCGTAGAGCTCAGAGACAGGATTGTGTCGAGGCACATATCTGTGGAAGGGTACAAAAAAATTCTGCAGCATTGAAGGTCCCCAAGAACACAGAGGTCTCCATCATTCGTAAATGGAAGAAGTTTGGAACCACCAAGACTCTTCTTAAAGCTGGTTGCCCGGCCAAACTGAGCAATCGGGGGAGAAGGGCCTTGGTGAGGGAGGTGACCAAGAACTCGGTGGTCAGTCTGACAGAGCTCAAGAGTTCCTCTGTGGAGATGGGAGAACCTTCCAGAAGGACAACTGTCTCTGCAGCGCTCCACCAAACAGTTGTTTATGGTAGAGTGGCCAGACGGAAGCCACTCCTCAGTAAAAGGCATATGACAGCCTGCTTGGAGTTTGCCAAAAGGCACCTAAAGGACTCTCAGACCATGCGAAACAAGATTCTCTGGTCTGATGAAACCAAGATTGAACTCTTTGGCCTGAATGCCAAGCATCACGTCTGTGGGAAACCTGGCACCATCCCTACGGTGAAGTATGGTGGTGGCATCATCATGCTCTGAGGATGTTTTTCAGCGGCAGGGACTGGGAGACTATTCAGGGTTGAGGCAAAGATGAACGGACCAAAGTACAGATAGATCCTTGATTAAAGCCTGCTCTAGAGCACTCAGGACCTCAGACTGGGACGAAGGTTCACCTTCCAACAGGACAACGACCCTAAGCACACAGCCAAGACAACGCAAGAGTGGCTTCGGGACAAGTATCTGAATGTTTTTGAGTGGCCCAGTCAGAGCCCGGACTTGATTCCGAAAATATCTGGAGAGACCTAAAAATAGCTGTGCAGTAACGCTCCCCATCCAACCTGACAGAGCTTGAGAGGATTTGCAGAAAAGAATGGAAAAACTCCAAATACAGGTGCGCCATATTGTAGCGTCATACCCAAGAAGACTCGAGGCTGTAATTGCTGCCAAAGGTGCTTCAACAAAGTAAAGGGCCAGACATAGCGTTTTCCTTGATGGCCAGAGTACCTTCTTCCATATGTTTGGGGAGTTTCGCACTTGGCTTTTGGCGAACATGAAACGTGTTTGCTTATTTTTTTTCTTTATGCAAATTTCATTTTTTTTTTATAACCCAACCCTGATCTGTACTTCTCCACAACTTTGGCCTTTCAGAACAGGTGTATATAAACTGAGATCATGTGACACTTAGATTGCACACAGGTGGACATTATTTAACTAATTATGTGACTTCTGAAGGTAATTGGTTGCACCAGATCTTATTTAGGGGCTTCAAAGCAAAGGGGGTGAATACACATGCACGCACAACTTCTTCGTTGTTTATTTAAAAAAAAATTTAAACAAGTTATTTTTTTCATGTCACTTCACCAATTTGGACTATTTTGTGTATGTCCATTACATGAAATCCAAATAAAAATCCATTTAAATTACAGGTTGTAATGCAACAAAATAGGAAAAACGCCAAAGGGGATGAATATATTTGCAAGGCACTGTACTTATTATGGATACAGTATGCTTTACAATAGTTATCTTGTTGTTATTAGTTGTGTTAGTCCCATCCATCAGCTCCATTCAACACCTCCCTTCTATTTGCCCTATATTTTTCAACTGTACTGTGATGTTTCACAAAAGTTCTAAACCCTTCTATTCTCATTGTTTCTACAGATTGTAAATTGAAAATAAACATTTTTGTTAAAAGTATTATTATATCATTGATCGATATACTATGACTTTTCAGATCACCCAGTAGTGCTATCTGCAGGGTTAGCTCCAGGTAAATATTGCCATTCCTGGACCTGTGACCAAAAACAAGCTACAAATGGACAGTACCAAAACAAATGATCTAATGATTCTGTCTCTTCGCAGCAAAATCTGCAGTGCTGGGAAGATTGTGTCCTCCATATAAATAACATTCTATTGGTAGCAAGAATTTAGTATAATAATTTAAATTGAAAAATGCAACATTTTGAATCCGGCGTCGTTTTGCGTATCAGTTCATAAACACTATGCCATGGAATCGGTTTGTCAGAAATCTCTTCCCAACTATTTTGCAATCTATATGGGACGGCTTTCAATCCTTTGGTCCTTAAATGAAACTGGTATACTTTTTTATTTATCCAAATTTTCTTTAACCAATTATGTTCTTTAATGCAGGGCCGACAGACAAGTTCCTTACTTTTCCCCCCTTCCACTTTCCTCTTCCATTTTTGCGGTAATACTCCAATTATTTGGTTGTAATTTTGGGTAGAGCAGACATTTCCATATGTTTTAGTTAGCTGCTTGTGCGACGTAACTCCACCAGTCCTACCTATGATATCATTTACGAAGATTATACCTTTTTAAAACATGTTTTTTTATGAATTTCTATATTTGAGTTTAACCACAATATTTGTTGCATTATTTGTTCTGTCGTTTCTGGGGGATTAAATTGAAATTGAAACCAACTTTCTATGGCTTGTTTTAGAAATAGTGATATTTGGTTGGTGGTTTCCTTTTCAAATAACTGAAAGTGAGAGGTTGTAATCTGAATAAAGGGAAAAGGGCCATTCTTGAACATGGGGTGAGACAATCTTACTAATTTGCTAGAGAACCATTTCGGATTTAAGTATAACTTTTGTATGACTGAAGCTTTTAGTGATAGGTCTAATGCTTTAATATTTAATCATTTCTGTCCTCCGAATTCATTATATAAATAGGCCCTTTAATTTTGTCTGGCTTGCCGTTCCAAATAAAATTTAATATTTTTTTCTCATATAACTTAAAAAACGGTTTGCTAGGCGTAGGTAAGACAATAAGCAAATAGGTAAACTTGGATAATACTAAAGAGTTAATCAGGGTGATTTTTCCACAAATAGACAGGTATTTACCTTTCCATGATAGCAAGATCTAATCTATTTTTGCTAACTTTCTATAACATTTATTGGAGTGAGATCATTTATTTCATTTGAGATATGTATTCCGAGTATATCCACATCACCATCAGACCATTTTATTGGTAAACTAATCATATTTTTTAGTGATACAATAAGTAATATACAGTGGGGGGGGGAAAGTATTTAGTCAGCCACCAATTGTGCAAGTTCTCCCACTTAAAAAGATGAGAGAGGCCTGTAATTTTCATCATAGGTACACGTCAACTATGACAGACAAATTGAGATTTTTTCTCTCCAGAAAATCACATTGTAGGATTTTTAATGAATTTATTTGCAAATTATGGTGGAAAATAAGTATTTGGTCACCTACAAACAAGCAAGATTTCTGGCTCTCACAGACCTGTAACTTCTTCTTTAAGAGGTTCCTCTGTCCTCCACTCGTTACCTGTATTAATGGCACCTGTTTGAACTTGTTATCAGTATAAAAGACACCTGTCCACAACCTCAAACAGTCACACTCCAAACTCCACTATGGCCAAGACCAAAGAGCTGTCAAAGGACACCAGAAACAACATTGTAGACCTGCACCAGGCTGGGAAGACTGAATCTGCAATAGGTAAGCAGCTTGGTTTGAAGAAATCAACCGTGGGAGCAATTATTAGGAAATGGAAGACATACAAGACCACTGATAATCTCCCTCGATCTGGGGCTCCACGCAAGATCTCACCCTGTGGGGTCAAAATGATCACAGGAACGGTGAACAAAAATCCCAGAACCACACGGGGGGACCTAGTGAATGACCTGCAGAGAGCTGGGACCAAAGTAACAAAGCCTACCATCAGTAACACACTACGCCGCCAGGGACTCAAATCTTTCAGTGCCAGACGTGTCCCCCTGCTTAAGCCAGTACATGTCCAGGCCCGTCTGAAGTTTGCTAGAGTATATTTGGATGATCCAGAAGAGGATTGGGAGAATGTCAAATGGTCAGATGAAACCAAAATATTACTTTTTGGTAAAAACTCAACTCGTCGTGTTTGGAGGACAAAGAATGCTGAGTTGCATCCAAAGAACACCATACCTACTGTGAAGCATGGGGGTGGAAACATCATGCTTTGGGGCTGTTTCTCTGCAAAGGGACCAGGATGACTGATCCGTGTAAAGGAAAGAATGAATGGGGCCATGTATCGTGAGATTTTGAGTGAAAACCTCCTTCCATCAGCAAGGGCATTGAAGATGAAACGTGGCTGGGTCTTTCAGCATGACAATAATCCCAAACACACCGCCCGGGCAACGAAGGAGTGGCTTCGTAAGAAGCATTTCAAGGTCCTGGAGTGGCCTAGCCAGTCTCCAGATCTCAACCCCATAGAAAATATTTGGAGGGAGTTGAAAGTCCGTGTTGCCCAGCGACAGCCCCAAAACATCACTGCTCTAGAGGAGATCTGCATGGAGGAATGGGCCAAAATACCAGCAACAGTGTGTGAAAACCTTGTGAAGACTTACAGAAAACGTTTGACCTGTGTCATTGCCAACAAAGGGTATATAAAAAAGTATTGAGAAACTTTTGTTATTGACCAAATACTTATTTTCCACCATAATTTGCAAATAAATTCATAAAAAATCCTACAATGTGATTTTCTGGATTTTTTTTTCTCATTCTGTCATAGTTGACGTGTACCTATGATGAAAATTACAGGCCTCTCATCTTTTTAAGTGGGAGAACTTGCACAATTGGTGGCTTACTAAATACTTTTTTCCCCCACTGTATTACATTTATCATAATTTGGTTGTAATCCAGAGAGGTTAGAAAATTTATCTAGATCCTCTATGAGGCTGTGGAGGCATTCTAGTTGTGGATTTAAAAGAAAACATGAATCATCAGCGTACAATGACACCTTTGTTTTTAAGCCCTGGATTTCTAATCCCTTGATATTTTTGTTGGATCTGATTTTAATAGCTAACATTTTGATGGCCATACTAAATAGATATGCCGATAGTGGACAACCTTGTTTTACTCCTCTTGACAGTTTAAAACTTTCGGAGAAATAGCCATGATTTATTATTTTACACCTAGGGTTAGTATACATGATTTTAACCCATTTTATAAGAGATTCTCCAAAATTGAAATGCTCCAGGCATTTATATATAAACTCCAGTCGTACTTTATCAAATGCCTTTTCAAAGTCTGCTATGAAAAGCAGGCCTGGTTTCCCAGTTTTTCATAGTGTTCCAGTGTTTGAAGTACTTGCCTTATAATATCTCCAATGTATCGTCTATGTAAAAAACCTGTCTGATTTGAATGAATAATGTCCGACAATAGACAGAAAGTGTTTGCAGAACCAGTGTATTTAATTTATTTTACCCTGATACAAAAATAAAATGTATATATCAGGTCTTTTTTTTAAAGAGTGAAATTTGACAATACATTGAATACCTGAATTTCCACCAAAATCCCTGATCTCCATTCATTATTTGTCCATGGCAGTAAAATGTTTTATGTGCTATAATTTAGTCAATAATGGAGGGATTATAAAAATTCTAAAAGTTTGGAATATCTTCATTTATTTAATCAAATTGTTTTTAAAACCTTTTAACAATTTTGATGACCGTTTCTAGTGTGTGTGTGTGTGTGACAGAGAGAGAGAGAGAGGTTTATTTGTGTGTGTGAGAGAGAGGATGTGTGCGTGTGGTGTGTTCCTTTATCTCCCCGTGATCCTTCCGTATTCCAAAATCCTCTGCTTTCCGAGACTCTTGTTTTCCCATGTATGCGTAGCTGGAGTTTACGTGTTTTAATTTGAAGTATGTTCTCTGGTCTGCTTAATGCTTCCTGATCCTTGCTAAGACCAGTTAGCCGTAAGTAGAGCTTCTAGCAGCTCCCTAATAAACCCTGTAATAGTAATGTTGTGGACAGACAGTTTCCAACAGGGACTCTCTCTTGGAAGTCAGAATGATGCTAATCAGTTCTGGAAGGCTTTGAACTCATCATGGAACTCAGACAAACACACACACACAAATCTGCACAAATGCATGGATGCACTCCACACACATTGACACATTAACAAACTGAGTTATTACTTCTAAACAGAAACACTTTTTTTGGGTTATCATATGCTTACAATGTTGTTTTGAGTATTGCTTGAACGGTCGCTAAGATTCAATTTGGTTGTGATCAGATTTTGAATGCAGCAGTTGTTAGCTAGAATGCTAACGCTCATTGGCATAGACCAGGGTTTCCCAACCCTGTTCCTGGAGAGCTACCCTCCTGTATGTTTTCGCTCCAACCCCAGGTGTTACTAACCTGATTCATCTTATCAACCTGGTAATTATTAGAATCAGGTGTGCTAGATTAGGGTTGGAGCAAAGACCTACAGGACAGTAGCTCTCCAGGAACAGGGTTGGGCAGTCCTGGCATAGACTGTAGCAAAGCTTGTCAAAGAGCAATTTTATTGGTTGAAGTGTATTTTTTAAATATAGTGGAGTTGATTTGCGACAATGAAACAAACATTATACTAAGCAGGAGATTCATACGAGCCTTACAATCCAATTATAATCCAAAAGTAGTGTGAAAGGCACTCATAAGCAACATGTAAAATAGGCTTTCTTTGCTGGCGGTCTATGAGAACTCCTCCGTGTTTTCTCCCAAGGTGGGGAAATTGTGAATACCGACTTGGCGTATGCTGGCTTGAGTGAGTGAGTGAGTGGGAGAGAGAGAGCAAGCTTAGTGTATTAACTTTTTTTTCTGGAGAAGGCACAATCATGTGATCAGGCCCAATGAGGTTGCACAGGGAAAGAAGAAGGCTGGCCCAGGCCTGCCCAGCGTTATCCAATGAGGTTGCAGAGAGAGAGAGAGAACCATAACGTGGTGCACATATCTGCATATACAGTGCATTCGGAAACAATTCAGACCCCTTCACTTTTTCCACATTTTGTTACGTTACAGCCTTATTCTAAAATTGATTCAATATATAATTTTTTTATCTACACACAATACCCCATAATGACAAAGCAAAAACTGGTTTTTAGAAAATTGTGCAAATAAAAAATATATAAAAAACTTAAATATCACCTTTTCATAAGTATTCAGACCCTTTACTCAGTACTTTGTTGAAGCACCTTTGGCAGCAATTACAGCCTAGAGTTTTCTTGTGTATGATGCTATAAGCTTGAGGCGTTTCTCCCATTCTTCTCTGCAGATCCTGTCAAGCTCTGTCAGGTTGGATGGGGACCGTTGCTGCACAGCTTTTTTCAGGTCTCTCTAGAGATGTTAGATTGGGTTCAAATCCGGGCTCTGGCTGGGCCACTCAAGGACATTCAGAGACTTGTTCCGAGCCACTCCTGCATTGTGTTGGCTGTGTGCTTAGGGTCGTTGTCCTGTTGGAAGGTGAACCTTCGTCCCAGTCTGAGGTCCTGAGCACTCTGGAGCAGGTTTTCATCAAGGATCTCTCTGTACTTTGCTCTGTTCATCTTTCCCTCGATCCTGACTAGTCTCCCAGTCCCTGCCGCTTAAAAACATCCCCACAGCATGATGCTAACACCACCATGCTTCACCGTAGGGAGGTGCCAGGTTTCCTCCAGACGTGACGCTTGGCTTTCAGGCCAAAGAGTTCAATCTTGGTTTCATCAGACCAGAGAATCTTGTTTCTCATGGTGTGAGAGTCCTTTAGGTGCCTTTTGGCAAACTCCAAGCGGGCTGTCATGTGCCTTTTACTGAGGAGTGGCTTCTGTCTGGCCACTCTACCTTAAAGGCCTGATTGGTGGAGTGCTGCAGAGATGTTTGTCCTTCTGGAAGGTTCTCCGATCTCCACAGAGGAACTCTGAAGCTCTGTCAGAGTGACCATCGGGTTCTTGGTCACCTCCCTGACCAAGGCCCTTCTCCCCCAATTGCTCAGTTAGGCCGTGTGGCTTGCTCTAGGAAGAGTATTGGTGGTTCCAAACTTCTTCCATTTAAGAATGATGGAGGCCACTGTGTTCTTGGGGAACTTCAACGCTGAGAAATGTTTTGGTACCCTTCCCCAGATATGTGCCTCGACACAATCCAGTCTCCGAGCTCTATGGACAATTCCTTCGACCTCATGCCTTGGTTTTTGCTCTGACATGCACTGTAAACTGTGGGACCTTATATAGACAGGTGTGTGCCTTTCCAAATCATGTCCAATCAATTGAATTTACCACAGGTGGAATCCAATCAAGTTGTAGAAACATCTCAAGGATGATCAATGGAAACAGGATGCACCTGAGATCAGTTCCGAGTCTCATAGCAAAGGGTCTGAATACTTGTGTAAATAAGGTATTTCTGTTTTTTATTTTTTTTACAAATTTGCAAACATTTCTAAAAAACTGTTTTCACTTCGTCATTTTGGGGTGTGGTGTGTAGATTGACGAGGATGTTTATTTTATTTATTCAATTTTAGAATCAGGCTGTAACGTAACAAAATGTGGAAAATGTCAAAGGATCTGAAAACATTCCGAATGCACTGTAATGCAATTTCTGGGGAGCACTTTTGGCTCGTGAGCGCTACTTTCACAACTATCTGGTGTGCTGCTTCAAGTGTGAAGGAAATCTCAAGCTTCTGCTCACCTGATATAGAATGCCTCATGGTAAGCTGCAGACCCTTTGATCTACCAAGAGAGTTCTCATCCGTAATTATCACTGCTGTCTATATTCCTCCACAGGCCTTGTGTTGTTATTGTCATTAGTTTTCGTCAGGAAAAATAGGTCATTGACAAGTATTTTTTTCCATCACAGTTATTGTTGACGAAATTAACACTGTTATGAAGAAAGCTCAGAGAGAGGCACCAAAACTGAGAACATAGTACTCATTCTATCTCTCTCTCTCTCTCTCTCTCTCTCTCTCTCTCTCTCTCTCTCTCTCTCTCTCTCTCTCTCTCTCTCTCTCTCTCTCTCTCTCTCTCTCTCTCTCTCTCTCCCCCTCTACCTCTCTTTGCTATGTATATTTGCCGAATTTACCAAAAAGGTATTTTAGAAATAAAAAAATCTCTCCTCTTTCTCTCTCTCCCCCTCAGGCTTGCCAAGTTTCGTCAAGTCTCCCGAGGACCAAACAGGTATATCGGGTGGCGTAGCGTCATTCGTGTGCCAGGCCACAGGAGAGCCCAAACCCAGGATCACCTGGATGAAGAAGGGCAAGAAAGTCAGCTCCCAACGCTTTGAGGTACACACACACACAGGGGTCAACCCCGAGTGTCTACTTATGGATCATGCTGACAAGATTCTACCATCACGCTGTCTGTTGGTGTAGCTGCTCGAAATCCCTCCTTCTCTCTTCATTCTTCATTCTTCCATCCTCCTTCTCTCTCTCTGTCAGTCAGTTTCATCTATTGTTTTTTAGTCTTTAATTTCAAGCGTCATCCTCCTTTCTTCTCACATCATCTGTCAATCCCTTGATCCCCCCCATCTCTCTCTCTTCATTCTCTCTCTCTCTCTCTCTCTCTCTCTCTCTCTCTCTCTCTCTCTCTCTCTCTCTCTCTCTCTCTCTCTCTCTCTCTCTCTCTCTCTCTCTCTCTCTCTCTCTCTCTCTCTCTTCTATCTAGCTCTCCTCTAGTTTAACCATGTTGAACAGAGTATGACTGTGTAAGTATGATATGTGTGATATCACAGACTGGCTGAACCGTGGGGCAGCCAGGCAGTAGGGCTGTGGGCTTGGTTACAACATCTAAGACCAGTCTGCTATGCAATAGGGCAGCCAGTGGGGATGTAGGGGTTGATAACGTCTATCATGACAGACCTTGACAACAGAGGGACATCATGGGAGAACAGTGAAATGGGCTGAAACCAGAGGAATTCCTGCTTTTCTGACATAATTCTCTATTGATGTATAATTACAATTTACGTATCCCTAGCCAAAATCTAGATGTTCCATGTTGTCCTGATCACAACCCTACTAAAAGACTGTCTCATGTCTTCTGTGTGTGTGTGTTTGTCTGTGTGTGTGTATCCCTACCAGGTGATAGAGTTTGATGATGGTTCTGGGTCTTTACTGAGGATCCAGCCCCTGAGGACACACAGAGACGAGGCCATTTATGAGTGTACCGCCACCAACAGCGCCGGAGAGATCAAGACTAGTGCCAAACTCACCGTGCTAGAAGGTAAGAGACTTCCCATCTCTCTCTCTGTTTATCTGTATGTCTCAGTAGCTCTCTCTCTCGCGCGCTCTCTCTCTCTCTAGCTCTCTCTCTGTCGCTCTAGCTCTCTGTTTCTCTCTATCTATATCTCTGTCTTCATACAAATTCAGATAGACACCCCAAGGTGTTTCAGTTCTTTGTAATATTATATGATATAATGTGACAACATCATGGCACTAACATGTTGTCCATATTCCAAATGAAAGTTTCTATAGTAGGTTGTCCTGGGGTTATGGTTAGGATGATGTGTAAGTGTTAATGTGAGTGTGTTCAACTCACGTGCACATATCTTACTTCTGCTTGTATGGGAGATGGCAAGGATGTCACGCCCTGACTCAGGGGACTCTTATATGTTGAGTCAGGGTGTGAATATTCTATGTTGTGTATATCTATGTGTATGATCTAGTATGTGTAGATCTATGTTGCCTGATGTGGTTCCCAATCAGAGGCAGCTGTCGCTCGTTGTCTCTGATTGGGGATCATACTTAGGCAGCCTATTGGCACTCGTTAGTTGTGGGATCTTGTTCCGTAAGTAGGCTTGTTTTGTGTGTAGCCTTAGGACTTCACGGTTCGTTTGTTTATTGTTTTGTCGTGTGTTTATCATTTTAATAAACATGTACGCATTTCACGCTGCGCCTTGGTCTGACCCGTCCTTAAACGAACGTGACAAAGGGGTTGAACATTGACTGTATATCAGTTTACCAGTAAACTACCAGCATTTTGGTAAATGTCCAGTTTTTTATTTTATTTTATCTCATCTAGCGGCATTTTTGGGTACTTCAGATTATCACAGGTGTCTATAATTATATCTGGCCCTCTGTGTAGCCGTAACATATGTGAAATATATAAAATTATCAAATCAAATGATTTTAAAATAAAAAATAGAATAATAAAGCTGTAAAACATTATCCTAAATATAAACCATCAACTTAGTGAATGCTATTGGTGTTTTAAAATGAGGGTTTCAGCATGAAATATCCTTAATATATTTATATTTTTTTAACATGCTTTTATTTATTTTACTATGTCAATATGTCTTTGTTGTAAATGTTTTGACGCTAAACTCGTGGCAGTTGTGAAAGAAAGTCAATAGTTGGAAGAGTTGCAGAGTTAATTGAAAATAATGCCATTGTTGATTAGAAGCTTTTTTCATTAATTAGGCTATATTCTCTTTAACCATATGGTGTATCCACTACAAACTCGTGGACAATATGGACACAGATATAAAAAAAATCATACCAAATATGAATAAAATAACATAATTGTATAAATTACTCAAATTACCAAAGATTGCCATAGATTACCTGTTAGTTACCAAAATTACTGAAGATTCCAGTAACTTACTGGTAGCTTTGCAACCCTAGAGATGGCACTCCTCCCTCTACCTCCCTCCTCTCCCTCCCTCCCTTCCCTCTCACCCCCTGGCTCCAGTATGTTATGAGATATGACTGGACACAGGGCATGTACTGTGCATACAGTAATGTTGCTGCCTCATATATCCTCTCACGGCTTTTAACTCTGAAAGAAATCTCATCCCAATTGATTCGGTGAAATCGAAATGAGGCGGAGTGTGTTCTATCATAAATAACAACTGGTGTGCTGCTTCAAGTGTGAAGGAAATCTCAAGCTTCTGTTCACCTGATATAGAATGCCTCATGGTAAGCTGCAGACCCTTTTATCTACCAAGATATCACGGAGAATTTAATGTGGGGAGACTGAAAACCGTCCTACCTCACTTCTACCAACTCGTCTCCTGCGCCACTAGGGACGCTAAAATTCTAGACCACTTTTATTCTACCCACAGAAACGCATACAAGGCTCTCCCTCATCCTGCCTTCAGCAAGTCTGACCATGATTCCATTCTCCTGCTTCCTGTTCACAAACAAAAATTCAAACATGAAGTACCAGTGATGCGCTCAATATGGAAGTGGTAGGACAAAGCAGACTTGAGGCTACAAGACTGTTTTGATAGTACAGACTGGGATATGTTCCGGGATTCATCCGATAGCAGGGCTGTCCCCGACTAACAAAAATCCTGGTCGACCGAAAGTCGTCTGTTCTTTCGACCAATCGATTGGTCAAACTTTTTTAATGTGTATTTTTCCATATATAGACACACACTATGTGTTTTTATAAAATCAGCTCTATGCATTGAGCTTTTCTGATGCTTGAAGCTTACGGTTTGTTGAAATAAGACAAATGCATCAAGAGAGATCTAGATAACAGAAGAACAAACCTTAACCTGACCCAACTATTCTCCTCCCGCTCGAGCTGGCTTTTGCAGATTCTGCCATTACTCTGCTGAGTTTCCGGTAATAGACTACACGAGGAGTCGGCAACTTTTCTCATGTGGAATGCCAATTTATCTTACAATTTCTACTGACCTGCGTGCCAGTTATGGTTTTCATATGCACATTTTCGTGAAACAGTTTCATTTAATTTATAATAACGTCTTCATATCTCAAAATCATTGTCATGTGGTTCATCAAAATTATATCCAAATCTAAATGAAAAAAATACTAACCTAAAAAGTAACTTATATTGTCACTGCCAACTGTGTAAAAATAGCCTACATAAAGCCAACAAATAAAAACATTGCAGCCTGCAGGTAGTAAATATCCTAATTAAAAATAAATATCCTATAAATCACATTGGCTACACATGGCCTGTCTGCAATGAACTTGAAACATTGTATCAAGTATTAACGTGGGTCCAGCCCGAAGCTTGCACTAGCGAACATGCAACATTGTATGAAATAATCTGCAGTGAGCTCGGGACAGACACAGCTGTAGGCTATTTGCGCAAGGGATAAGAAGCAGTGCTTGACTTGGGCAGGAGCTCACCGGAGCTGAGTACCAGTGTGGTGGCCGAACAACGATGCTGCAATGCTGTGTTGATAAGGAATCCGCTGACACTGTACTTTTATTATAAAGGTTTATTATATCAAAAGATTTCAGCATCAATTTACAGACTTCTGCAGAATCTGGAGAGAAACGAACCCAATCTCAAATATGATCACTCTCCTCGTCCCTTTGTTCAAACATGGTATATATCCTATGTAACACAAGATGGCGTATTTTGAATAGACCAATCCCTGGCCTCCACATATCCCAATGTCCTCCATCTTAGGGGGCCCCTATAGTAATACTTTCCAGATGTTTCAGCAAAGCAAAGTAGAGTTCATTTAACCAACAATATAGAATGTTCAGATACTACACCGGCACCTCAAATGTTCTATTGCTTGAGCTCCTGTTCCTCTTATAGAATATTAGCTCAAAAGTATTGTGGAGCTCCTGCACCTAAATCTAAACAGTACCAGCACCCAAAATGAGTACCGGAACCTATTTTAGTCCAAGTCAAGCACTGATAAGAAGTAATTAGGTAGGCCTATTTCATGACTTTTCCACTGGATCAGAGCATTACATTTTTCCCTTTCACACTGAGTGGTTATAGAAAAGGAGAGAGCTGGAATGATTTTTCAAATACATTGAGGAGCTATTCTCAATGACTTATACAATCTTCACAGCTCTGCAGATTTTGCTGCGAAGAGACAGAATCATTAGATCATTTGTTTTGCTACTGTCCATTTGAAGCTTGTTTTTGGACACAGGTCCAGGAATAGCTAAAGGATTGCAATATTTACCTGGAGCTAACCTTGCAGATAGCATTACTGGGTGATCTGAAAAGTCCTAGTCAATCGATCAATATAATAGTACTTTTAGCAAAAATGTTTATTTTCAATTCACAATCTGTAGAAACAATGAGAATAGAAAGGTTCAGAACTTTTGTAAGACATCACAGTACAGTTGAAATGTATAAGGCAAATAGAAATCCTATATGGATGGTGTTAGGAGATAGATGGGAGGTGTTGAATGGAATTGAAGGATGGGACTAATAACAACTAACAATAACAAGATAACTAATAATGTAAGCAAACTGTGTCCATAATAAGTACATAGGTTGTAGGTTTGGAGCTTTTGTGAAAGAGCACAGTTAGAAAGATATGGCATATAGAAGCAAACCGGATGGACATCATGAAAATGATCGGAGAGGTTGAGAGTAGAAGAAGTTCAGGAGAAAAAACAAACAAAATATAATTATTGTAAAATTCACTGTGTCCATAAATGTAGCTAGTAAGTATAAGCTGGAAGTAGAGGCCTAAGCATTGTTGTTCACTAGTTTACTCCAAGTAGGGAAAGGGTGGCGGAGTTGGAAAGTAATAAAGGGGAATATATACATATTTTTAAAGGATATGTATGTGTATGTATGTATATACAGTGGAGAGAACAAGTATTTGATACACTGCCGATTTTGCAGGTTTTCCTACTTACAAAGCATGTAGAGGTCTGTCATTTTTAACATAGGTACACTTCAACTGTGAGAGACGGAATCTAAAACAAAAATCCAGAAAATCACATTGTATGATTTTTATGTAATTCATTTGGATTTTATTGCATGACATAAGTATTTGATACATCAGAACAGCAGACCTTAATATTTGGTACAGAAACCTTTGTTTGCAATTACAGAGATCATATGTTTCCTGTAGGTCTTGACCAGGTTTGCACACACTGCAGCAGGGATTTTGGCCCACTCCTCCATACAGACCTTCTCCAGATCCTTCAGGTTTCGGGGCTGTCACTGGGCAATACGGACTTTCAGCTCCCTCCAAAGATGTTCTATTGGGTTCAGGTCTGGAGACTGGCTAGGCCACTCCAGGACCTTGAGATGCTCCTTACGGAGCCACTCCTTAGTTGCCCTGGCTGTGTGTTTCGGGTCGTTGTCATGCTGGAAGACCCAGCCATGACCCATCTTCAATGCTCTTACTGAGGGAAGGTGGTTGTTGGCCAAGATCTCGCGATACATGGCCCCATCCATCCTCCCCTCAATACGGTGCAGTCGT